AAATAAATAAATAAATAAATAAATAAATAAATAAATAAATAAATAAAAATTAGCAAACTGATCTTGAAGAACATGCTCATGACTTGGAATTAGCACACTCTGTGAAAAATGAAAGGTTTACTCTTACCAAGTAAAGAAAAAGGCTACAACAGCCAAGATAATCACTGAGTTAAACTTTACCATCCAAATGGCGTTCTCCATAAGAGCTCTCTGGAAACAGGCCCCTTAGATATGTTATACATGAGATAGAAGTAGCAAAAAGTTTCTTCACCATTATCAATGAAGCATGCTCATTAGTGATTTGGGATGGAAAAACTGTTTCCTGGGGAAAAAAAGAAAAAGATGAAAAAGATTAGTATTCTTTAATATATTCAGCCATCATGCCTTTACCACAGATATGATGGAAAGATTTTTCAAGACTTCAAATCTGATACCTTTACAGATAATCAAAAGGAAACAGGGCTTTGAAAACTGCATTAAAGTTGATCTTTATAGGTAAGGCAGAGAAGAAAAGCAGGGACAGTTACCCAAGCAATTCAAGACTAGTATAATTTACTTCACAATGATCCATGGGTTTGAGGTGAAACTGGAGCTTTACTATGATTACATAATCTCCTTCCTTTTCACATACTACTCAGATCCCCAATGCAATCTTTTACCCCCTACATTCTCTCCAAAGTCATCAAGTACATCCTATCATCAACCTCTTCTGTCCTCTTACTATGTAACTTCTCTGCAGTGTTTGACACTTCCCACATCTTCCCTCTTCCTTTTCAGCTGCCATAACAGTTTTCTTTTGATTTTTCACATATCCCTCTGTATCTATCTCAATCTCTTATTTTTTCCAGTTTTTCTGCCCTTTAAATTCTCTCTTCAGTCCTTTCTCTTTGCATAGCTCTCACTTCTTGGGGAATCTCATCTAGTTTCACTGCTTCAGCTATAGCCCATACAGAGAAGACTTCAAATCTTTATTTCTGTTTAAGCCCTACTTCTGTGTTTCTGTTTCATGAACATCTACTCCTAGGCCACTTTGTAGAACCCTCAAACTCAACTTATCTCTATCACCTTTCACTGAAACCTGATCCCAAGTTTCATTCCCAGACAAATTAATCAGCCTCCACTCCAATCATCCAGGGTAGAAGTTGAGTCATCTTTGGCTTCTCTTTCTTGTTCATAGTTCATACCCCATTTCCAAGCACTAAACCCTATAATTCTCTCTAAAAGAGTTTTCAAATATATCTTCTCCTTTCCCTTCTCACTGTCACTGCCTTGACTTAGAACATATTTACTTCTCCTGTTTATTACATGCTGTAGCCCCGATCTCTCTGCCAACAGTTACTTTCATTCACTCTGTCCTTCATATTGCCATCATTAACTTTAAAGAATATAAATCTTACTATGACATGACCAGTGTTCATATAGGATAGAGTTCAAGTACCTTAGTGGAGCATTTGAGAACTATCAGTCTTGGGGCGTCTGGGTGGCTCAGTTGGTTATGCTTCCGACTTTGGCTCAGGTCATGATCTCATGGTCCGTGAGTTCGGTCCATGAGTTCGAGCCCCACATCGGGCTCTGCTGACAGTTCAGAGCCTAGAGCCTGCTTCGGATTCTGTGTCTCCCTATCTCTCTGCCCCTCCCCTACTCATGCTCTGCCTCTCTCTGTCTCTCAAAAATGAATAAATGTTAAAAAATTTTTAAAAAAAAGAACTATCAGTCTTATCTTTGCCTAGCTCTCTTGCCTCATTTGCCACCCCCTCCTCTCTGCCCCTACTCCTTATCCTCTCCTATGCACCCTACTCTACCTATGTGGAACTACTATTCATTTACTATTCTACTACCATGTATCTCCATGTTTTTGTACTTTGATAGAGTTTTGCAGGATACTAAGGTAAGAAGTTAGAATACTAAAGTTCTGTAAGATACCAGATAGCCTTCTATAAAATGTATGAGTGCTAACAATAGCTTCCTTCTAAATTATATGTGTGTATGTATGATATATTGAAAAATTCATACAGTTATTCTTAACTGATTGGATAATCTGCCCTAAGAAATGGTATGCCATATTAGGAATGTCAGAAGAGAGTGACAGATGCATAAATTTTACTTCAGCATATAAGAATTTTCTACCAACTTAAATTCATGTAGAATATTTGCTGATAGTTTGTTTTGCATCTTGAGTTATCACTTCAACATGTTTCATATTCAGTATTTACTGTGTACATGTATAAAAATAAAAATGAAAATTTGATCATTTTTGTAACAATTAATTAGTCTAAGACTGTTTTTTGCTCTTATTTAATCCAAGCACAAAATATGTCTCATGAACTCCAGCTGGCATTTGTCAATACATTTTATTTTTAAAGTATTTTCTAAATATTGATGAATTAGACTATATCAAACTTAAGAACTTCTGTTCAAAGAGAACATGGGAGAAGATATTCTCAATACACATATCTGCAAAGGACCCATATCCAGGATATAGGAAGAACTCCTAAAATTCACTAAGGAAAAGACAGACAACCAAAAAGAAAAAGGAAAAGACAGACAACCAAAAAGAAAAATGGACAAAAGACTTGATAAGACACTTCATAAAACAGGATATCCAAATGGCCAACAAACAGCACTCAAACTTCATGAGGGAAATGCACATTAAAACCACAATTAGATAACACTACACTACCTACCAAAATGGCTAAAGTTTTTAAAAATCAGAAAATACCAAATGTTGACAAGGATATAAATCAATCAAAACTTTGAAACACTGGTTATAGGAGCATAAATGGGTACAACCTCTTTGGAAAATTTGCTCAGTGGTATCTACTAAAGCTAAAGATACACATGTTATATGACCTATATTTCACTCATAGATATACACCTGGCAGATACGCATACCTATGCTCACCAAAAGAATGTTCATAATGGCATTATTTGTAATAGACCCAAAATGAAAACTACCCAAATGCCCATCAACAAAAGAATGGATGAACAAATTGTCATATATTCCTGTAATGGAATAATATACGGAAATGAGAATGAATGATCTACAACTATATTTAACAATCTCCAAATATATTTAACAATTTAATAACATATTTAACAATATGATAACTCTCACAGACAAATCTGAGCAAAAGAGACCACATACAAATGAGCGCTACTGTATGACTTCATCGATATAAAATACAAAGTAAGTGAAACTACTTCCATGCTGTTAGAAGTCAGGATAGTTAAGTCTCTGATGATCTTAATCAAATTCAGAGGTCTTTTTACTATACTACACAGTTTCATCTGTTGAAGTTTTAATAATCCTGTTACTTAGAGGTAGGTACTACCCGCAAATATGCCTTTGATGATGAAGAACTCACAAAAAGCTTTTCTATAGCTATATCCAAAAGACATTCTAGTCATGATTTTGCTATATAAACTTCGTTCTTCTTTGGCACACTGGCAATAAATTATCAAATTATATTATATTCCATTGTTAAAATGTATATAATAAAATAATAACATATAATAAGTAGACAATAAAATAAATAAATAAAAATATACAATAAAATAAAATAATATAAAATTATAATACTCTTGCATGTATGATAGGAACTTCGGGGACAAATCAGTATGGATCTTAAAAGCCAGGCTAAGGAATTTATGGTTTATTTTACAATCAATGGGAAGTCAGTGGATTTGATCAGGAAAGTGAGTAAAAGAATTGTTTTAGGAATATTAAGCTAGAGCAGAAGTAGGAAAACTTAAAGCTGAAGGGGAATTAGGTATGTATGTGGTGTGCATGTGTGTGCATGTAAAATTTTACAGAAAACTGCTTTTTGTACTGACAGAGCCTCAGAAATTAAGGTCTTTTTGAGTAAGTGGGTAATAGTTGGCATGGCATCTATATATGGCACCTTACTGAAAACTTGCCAAAACTTAAAGGTAACACTTGAGTAATAACCATTTGTAAAATTAAATAACCTGGAAGTATAAAGACATTTACTTTAAATATAGAATCTAAAAGGCCATTTGCAGTAATGAAGATCAATAGTTAGAAAAGCCCTCTAAAGTTCTGTTATTTTTCTATATCCTAGGGATTATTTTTCTTAGCTCAACTGTTCTTATTTTTCTTAGCTCAACTGATCTAATACCTTAAGGGTCATCAATGATGTTTTCATAAATGTCAAATACATGAAAATACTGACTTGACAATAAAAAACACTATGTCAAGCTATTTTAATAAGACAGTGTGCTAATGACATACGCGATGTTTGACAGCTCAGCTGTCAAGTTACATGACCTAAGACAATTACTTTACTTCTCTGAGCTTTAGTTTCCACCTTATTGTGAGGTTTAATTGAAACAATAATATAAAGCCCTTGGCACAGTGCCCAGTACATGGCAAATGCTGAATAAATGTTAGCTTCTAGAATTGTTATTATTGTTGTTTTAAGTATTAAATAACAAAATCATACAGTCACTTAAAACTTACTGGAAATAGTTCATTCAGTCCAAACTACAAAGATCTGTTTATATTAAAACATCATGTTAATGTTAATCATGATGTTAAACATAAAAATCATGTTAATTTACAGAGAGAAAATAACTCCCAAGCTGACCGTAATTCATATATATATACCCAGCTCAGCATTTCCCCCCAGGAAGGAAGCACACTTAGGAAACCAAATGAGATCAGGAATCCAGCGAGTATATTGAATTCAAGCCAGAAAGATGACTACTTTCTCTCTGCCCTAATTCTCCTTCAGCTGGAATCTTGCCTTTGTTTGCTGCAGCTTAATATTCCTAAAACAATTATTTTATTCACTCTCTTTTTTAAATAAATATTTATTTATTTATTTTGGGAGAGAGAGCAAGTGTGAGTGGGAGAGAGGGAGAGAGAGAATCCCAAGCAGGCTCCCCGCTGTCAGCCCAGAGGCCAAAACAGGGCTCAATCCCATGAACCTGTGAGATCATGACCTGAGCTAAAATCAACAGTTGGATGTTAACCAACTGAGCCACCCAGGTACTCCAATTTTATTCACTCTCCTGACTGAAGAATAAAGAAGGGGCGCCTGGCTGGCTCAGGAGGAGGAGCATGCAACTCTTGATCCTGAGGTTGTGAGTTTGAGCCCCACACTAGGTGTAGAGATTAAATAAATTTTTTTAAAAACTTTAAAAAAAAGTAAAGAATAAAGCATAAATTCCTTAGCTTGGCTTTTAAGATCCATATTAATTTGTTTCCAAAGTTCCCATTTGGTTTTATTTCCTTTTTCTGCCCAACATGATGTCTCTCCACTCCAGTAAGGATACGTTCTTCATTATTCTCTAAAATGTTCATTTCTCATTTTGAGCCAAAGCATGTTGGTAGGTTTTCCTCATAGAGTTCTCTTCTCTCTCCTCTACTCAAATCCTTTTTATTATTCAAAGTCTACCTTACATCACGTTTCCTTCATGAGTAATATACAAACTATTCCAGTCTATACAAAATCTCTAACTTCCTATAATTTGTATTGTTTTACTCTTTTTCACATATATAATGTATATACTGCTTTCTATATTGGCTTGACTCCTTTAAATCTTATTTCCTTTACCAGATTCTAAACTTCTGGGAGATAAAGATTTATTTATAATATGTATAATACCAAGCTCTTAATTAATAAATGAATGATTCATTAATGAATGTCATGGGACAAGACAGACCTGCCCTTGTGAACTTGGGAAGGATGCCTGACTCTGGCATGCTCCCCCAGGGGCCCAGCCTCCAAGTTCTTCAGTCCTTAAAATTACATCATGGTGCATATCAAAAATTTCCTAATTGCTTCAGGAAATGAGGATCTAACAGAGAACTGTTCTCTTTAAACATCTTTTTTGTTCCTGATTTCTTTTACTCTAGAAAATCTAAACATATGAGCATGAAACAAGCACCCAGTCAGTTACTTTGTAGGAATCTCTTCTAATTTCTTGAACATCCTCAGCCCATTAGGCAGTTAAAATGTAGACATACTCTGCCAGAATATTATGTGCCAATTAACTGATAAAACTGCTATTTAAAAAAACACCGAAGATTAAAGTCATGATTCTGAACTCACTAAATAGTCATTGATTTTCGTTTAATTCTTAGTAAATACCTTAGATGCTTTGTGAATTTTGATAGAGCGAGAGAGCTGAGCAGTGGCCATTGTAGTAATGTATCAAGATTCTTTTAACAAGTCAAACCTGTGGGGGTGAAAAAAAATTAGAGACTTTGCCAAAATAACCTTTTTTGTGACTTTTCCAAAAGAAGGACTATATAATTAGCATTGACTATATTCTTTGCAAAATTAGTTTAATAACCATTTTTATCTCCACTACCAGTTTTCTATAAATTTGGCTTACGATCTCTAGACTAGTATTTCCAACCACCCAGTGAGAATTTAAGTTGATTTGCTTGTTCCCAAATATATTTGAAGGAGAAAAATACATGGTAAATTACCTAAAGATTCAACAATATACATTTAAAAAAAATTTTTAATGTTTATTCATTTTTGAGAGAGAGAGACACAGAGTGAATGAGTGAGGGAGAGAGAGAGAGAGAGGGAGAAACAGAATCCGAAGGAGGCTCCAGGCTTTCAGCTGTCAGCACAGAGCCTAATGCAGGGCTTGAAGTCACCAGCCTAGCTGTGAGATCATGACCTGAGCCAAAGTCGGACGCTCAACCCACTGAGCCACCCAGTTGCCACTGATCTTAATTTAATTTGTATTGGGGCTGCTTTTCAAGTTATGGAGTTCTGACCAAATAACCTATTTAAAGTAATTCCATTCTGGATCACCCAGGATAGCCTGTGACCTTCTTTTGCGTATTGAACAATGCAAGATTCTGGATGATTTTGCAAATAAAAGACAGAATTATTTGAGGACACGGCCACAAGATGGTGATAGAGATTATAAACAAGTAATATTTAATTTCTCTCAAATTACTTCTTCAGATCAGCACTAGGGGACACTCTTTTACAAGATCCTGTAGGACACTGAAAACCACCTAACAGTCCTTTAGTCCTTAAACATTGCCAAGTGTCTTTTGTTGACTTCAAAATATAGCTTTCATTTCTGTGTATAACCTTCAAATCTGACTCAACACATCAATTGTTTCCCTTAAAACTTGAAGAAATAAAATGAGCAAAATAAGGAACTACAGAAGTTTAAGCCCTAGTTCTGGTCCATTAAGCCATGTAAATGACCCCCTCCTGGGGTAGTTATTAGTCTTAGAGACAATACATAAGAAGAATAGGGGCACCTGGGTGGCTCCGTTGGTTAAGCCTCCAACTCTTGATTTCAGCTCAGGTCATGATCTCACAGTTCATGGGATGGAACCCCACATTAGGCTCTGTGCTAACAGTGCTGAGCCCGCTTGGGATTCTTTTTTTGCCTCTCTAAATAAATAAATAAATAAACATTAAAAAAATAATAAATAATAATGAGAAGGATTTTTAAATAGATTTCTTCATTGATTAAAAAAAAAAATCTATCTATGGGAGTGCCTGGCTGACTCAGTCAGTAGAGCATAATCTCGGGGATTGTGAGTTTGAGCCCTACGTTGGGTGTAGAGATTACTTAAATACATAAACTTAAAAAAAAATTCTATGATCATAAGACATTCTGATGGCATTTCTAGAGAATCAAGCGCTGAAAAAAGCATCATTCAATTAGGACATAATGGCTAGGACATTATATCTATATAGGAATGTACAGAAACCTGGATTAAACTGATACTATCACTGAAAACTCTGAGACAAATCAGGCACTTGTTTTTGAGAAAGGATTCAAAGCTGGTTACTATTAGCATTTGGTAAATACCTGAGGAATTAACATTTCTAAAATAAGTAAAGTTAAATTTTATTTACACATATGTGTGTGTGTGAAGAGAGAAATAAACAGCAGTATAATGTAGTAGAAAGCAGCTTTGGAGTTAAGGAACCGAGGTTCAAATTCTGTTCAACTATCTAGTAGCTTTGTAACTTGGCCATATCACACAATCACCCTGGGCCTCAGTTTCCTTTTTTTGTAAAACAGAGAGAATAAATCCAACTTCTCAGGGCTCTTACAATGTTTATATGGGGATGTGTACATCCAGAGAGCATACCTAGCATAATGGTTAAGTACTCGCACTCTTCTGGAGTCACACTATCTAGGATCAAATTTCAGTCTGCAATTAACTTGCCATATCATCTTGGGCAGATTGTGTGCCTCAGTTTCCCCATCTTAAAACAAGGATAGTAATAGTACCAGCTTCACAGGGTTGTGGGAGGACTAAATGAGTCATTATATATAGGGCACTTAGAACACTGACAAATATTTCATTATAAGTAATAAAGCATGTTTATTTTTTTTAAATCTTATGTTAGTATTTGAACTCCTAGTTTTCTTCCAGCCTTCCAGTTGTTCCTTCTCATTGTCTATTTCAGACTTTTTTCCCCGCCCATTTCTTAACATTTGTGTTCAGGGTTCTGTACTAGGAGCTCTTTTTTTTTTTTTTTTTTTTTCTTACTTCTAAACACACTCCCTGGATGAACAAACACATTCCCATTGTTTCAATTACTATATCTATTCACATGATTGGATATAAGGAGCCCAGGTCTCTCTGAGGAGTTAGAAATCTATACCTCAGTCTATGAGACAGTTCCACTTTGATGTTCCCAACACATCTAAATGTCAGCTCTTTCCCCCCAAAACCTATTTCTGTTCCCTAGCTCAGTAAATGACATCATCAAATACCTAACTGTTCAAGCCTAAAAACTATGACTCAACTCTGTTCCCTCTCTCATTTCCACATCCAGTCTCCTTAACATTTATCAAATATGTCCATTACTCACTTTATACATGCTGTTATCTCTGCTTTAGATCAGATTAGCCTCATCTTTTGTCTGGACTGCTACAACCACCAGTCTAGTCTGCCTGTCATTGATCCTGCCCTTCTCCAGGCTGTTTTTTGTACCGTAGCCAAAGTTTTCTTTCTAAATTGTGAACTTGATTATGTAACTTCTTAGACTGAAATTCTTCAATGATTTCCCACTTTGCTCAGGATAAAATCCAAACTCCTTACCATGGCTTCAAGATCTGGCTCATGCCTTCTTAGCCACATCTCTAACCATTTTCCCTTACACTTTTATGAATCAGCTATTCTTATCTACTTTGATTACCCTAAAGGACCATATTCTCTACAGCTTTCAGGCTTTTGCAATATTCCTTCTGCCTGAAACATTCTCCTCCATTCTCAATTCTTACTTATCTCCTGGACATGGTTTAGTATAATGTTCTCAAGGAATATTTCCTGATTCACTACAGCGAGCAAGTTGGGTTATGTGCCCATTGTAATATATACTGTATCATGGTCGTATTTATGTATCCATCCCACCGTACTGTGAGCTAACATGAGAGTAAAGTTGTGTCTGTCTAGCTCATTTATTTTTCAAAGTTTTTTTTAAGGTACAATTTAGTGGATCTTGGTATATTCAGGGTTCTGCAACTGTCACTATTAATTCTAGAAGATTTTTGTTCCCCAAAAAGAAACTCTGTCCCCATTACCAATCACTCCCCACTCTCTCCTCCCCGACACCTTGCAACCACTAATCCATGTTTCATCTCTATGGATTTGCCTATTCTGGACATTTCATATAATGAAACCATGTAATATGTGACCTTTTGTGTCTGCTTTACTTCATTCTTTAAAAAAAAATTTTTTTAATGTTTATTGTTGAAAGACGGAGAGAGACAGAGAATGAGCGTGGGAGGGGCAGAAAGACAGGGAGACACAGAATCCAAAGCAGGCTCCAGGCTCTGAGCCATCAGCACAGAGCACACGGGGCTCGAACTCACAAACTGCGAGATCGTTACCTGAGCTGAAGTCGGACACTCAACCAACTGAGCCACTCAGGCGCCCCTGCTTTACTTCATTCTTGAATCCTCAGCACGATTACAGTATTGAAACAAAATAGATGCTCAAAAAGTATCTCCTGAATCAATAGAGAGATACTACAAGAACAAGGAAGAATTAAGCATCTAGAAAAGAATTACAGAATATTAATAGGTAGAAGGAACTTTGAATGTCATCTACTCCAAACATCTAATTTTCTAGATGAGGAAATCAAGGTCCAGAGAAGTCAACTGACTTAGGGTCAATCAAACATTTAGTGGTAGAACTGAGAATAAAACTCAAGGAACTCTGACTCACAATTTAGGGGTTTTTCTACAATGACTCCCCAAAATAAAATCCCTTTTTGCTTTCACCCCATCTAAAATAACGCACTACCCAGGAAGCTAGGTGGCTCAATCCGTTAAATGCCCGACTCTTGATTTTAGCTCAGATTATGATCTCATAGTCATGAGATGGAGCCCCACGTCAAGCTCTGCTCTGGGCATGGAGTCTGTTTAAGATTCTCCCTCTCTCTTCCCTCTGCCCCTCCCCCACATTTCATGCATGCTCTCTCTCTCTCTCAAAATAAATAAATACAGGTAAATAAATAAAATGATGTACTACCAGTGCCTTCCTAGTTGTTGGGCTTGCTTATTTCTAAATACAGTAGTGTCTTTGTGTCTTTTTCTGTTTTTCTAGAATGAGTTCGCTTTAGGAAGGCAAAATGTATCTAATTTTTTTTTTTTAATAGCGAGGCTCTTTTCAACCTCTAACTATTCTGTTGTTACTGTTGTTTTCCCTTTGAGCAGGTGTTTTGTGGAAGTCTCCTATTCAAGTACAAACTCTGCTTAATTTTGAAAGCTCACAAGCTAACAGCCCCAGGAGGTATGACACTACAGATCATGCACTCTTAGAGAATAACTCTGATTGTTTTTTTATCACCTTGTTCTAACTCATTATCTAAAAACCTAGGAGAGATTTCATAACTATGGATTTGAAGAACAGAACTCTAACTTTCAAATGTCTTTCACTTATATATTTGCTTGCATATTTGACCCACAAACATCTGAAACTTCACAGGGCATCAATATCTTTCATTTTTATGCTTGTCTACTCTGTGACAAGAATTATGATCTTGAGAAAGAGAAAAGATTTCTGTGCTTTCTCAGATAAAGACTCATGCTAGGCTTACCTCTTGACCTACATCTCAACTGCCCTATTTAAAATGGTGATACAATTGCTTACTGTTTTACCCTTTTATGTGTGAACCCAAGATTCAGATAAAGATTAACCAGCTACTGTTCAGCGCATTAAAGCCTAAGCCACTTTTTTTCCTTCTTTGGCCATTGTGAGTGAAGCAAAAACCAGTTTTATTATGTTTGCCCAAAGACAATAATAGTTGATTTCCTAACACTCCCCACCCATCTTTCTCAATCTTCCAAAACCATTTTTTCCCAACAAATCCCCTTTCTCTCAAATGAGTAATATCGAATAGCTGGATTCTAATAAATGCAACTAGATGATCTTTCTTGCCTGATTGTAAGGATGGCTTTACTGAAAGGAAGTACATTTTGACCTAAATGGGCTCAGCAACATAGAATTGGAAGGGAAAGGACACATCCTCTACAGATAATCCAATCTCTTCACTTTAAAGAAAAGGAAAGTCAATTTAGTGGAGGAAAGATAGTCTTTTTAACAAATAGTACTGGAACAATAGGACATGCATAGGCTGAACACCCCCCCCCCAAAAAAAGAACAAAACAAAGAAAACCCTCACACTGTAAGGTGAGTGTAAATTTCACACTGTATACAAATATTAATTCAAAATGGGTCATGGATTTTGACAATAGAGAAGAGGAAAACGAAGTTCAACAAAAGAACTTGGTTTGTTGAGGCACCTGGGTGGCTCAGTTGGTTGAGTGTCCAACTACAGCTCAGGTCTTGATCTCTTTCATGGTTGGTGAGTTCAAGCCCCACAGTGCAGAGCCTGCTTCGGATTCTACCTCCCTCTCTGTCTCTCTGCCCTCCCTCGCTCACATACTTGCATTCTCCCTCTCTCAAAAATAAACATTAAAAAAAAATTTTTTTTTTAAAGAACTTGGTTTGTCAAAGGTCACCCAGTTACTCAGAGGTTTCACAGAGTTTGCTTCCACAAATCATCATTCACCATTTTAATAAATCCCATCTGGCTCTGGTAATTTCTTCTCCCAGCTCACTCAGAATAAATGGTTTCCACTATATTAACTGGGTATTTGTACATGCTATTTTGGTTTTTTAATATCTTCTTCAGGCTATTTCAATTATTCATTCATTCAACATTTACTGGGTGACCACAATGTGCCAGTCATCATCTAGGATTACAGTGATGTAAAATAATACTGTTCACATGGCAAGAGATTGATGATGATCTAATGGGGGGAGACATTAGACTCTCAGCCTAATTAAATAAAAAATTCCTATAGGGGCAGGCGCCTGGGTGGTTCACTTCATTAAGAGAGGGACTCATCATTTCTGCCCAGGTCATGAGAACCGTTGGGCTTTGTGCTCACTGCGCAGAGCCTGCTTGGGATTCTCGCTCTCCTTTTCTCTCTGCCCCTCCCCTACTCGCTTTCTTTCGCTTTCTCTCAAAATAGACATTAAGAAAAAGAAAGAAGGAAAGCAAGCAAGCAAGAAAATTCCTTTAGGGGCAAGCACCCAGCTTTATCTTCATTTTCACCAGCGAGTACATGATGTACTGCACACCCCCTCCCATGCTCTGCACATCCGAACACACGTCGGTGATTGGCTAATCTCGCGTTTCAAGACACTTTCTCCCCTGTACTGTTTGGGGAACTAAAGTCCACGGAGATTAAACGGCACGTCCCGGTTAAGGTGGAAAAGGAGTCAAGGTCATTCCGTGCGGACCCATCCCCAGCTCTGTCGTCTCCTGATGATTCTGGCAAGAACTGGTTCTGGCAGAACACCTCCATGTCTGGAGAAAACCTGGCCTAGCTAAATTCACCCCCAAAGCTCCACACCCAACGCACTCCCCCACCCCGCCCCTTCCTGACTGGCCGCTGATTACCCTTGCAGCTTCCTCACCAAGACTCAATCCTCCTTTTCCACCGAAATCTGAATTCAATAGCTACTTTGGTGTTCACAGTACAATTATCGCCACTCTTTTTTTTTTTTCCCCCCCTGGTATATGCGAAAATTTTCGAAATCGAGCCCTGAGGGCGGCGGGGGTGGGTGGGGAGGGTGTTATCTAGAAGCTTCTCTTTGTTTTTTTCCTCCGCCCCCCCCCCCCCCCCCCCCCAGCCTTCCCGCTTCTCCTCAGGGTACTTCGGGGCTCAGCGAAATACTTTCAAATCAAACTTAAAGCCTCAAGTAAAAGGAAAGGAAAAGAAAAAAAAGAAATTAACCTAAGAACACGGAAGTAACAATGCTCAAGCGCGCTCTTTCTCCGGGCACCTTGGCTCTGCACAGCCCTCACCTCAGCTCCTCGAGGTCTCTCTCAGGTCTCTCAGAAGGATGCCCAACGGCCTTTTCGAGCCCAAAGCCTTTCGGGCTCATGAATAGTCAACGACGCCTTTCTGGGTGGGGCGAGAGACACTTACTCATGAATAATTCATAACCTCTCCAAGTCAAGCCCGGGCGGCCCGCCTTGTTCGGCTTCATGAATATGCAAAAAGCTGCCAGAGGCTGCTAAAGGCCCCCTGGAGATCCCTGCCCCCTCAGCGCCGGCGTCGTCCGCGCCTGGCCTCCTTCGCTCTGGGTTCCCCGCCACATGCCCCCCGGTCGCCGGCGCCGCGTCTCTTCTGCCGCCTTCTCGCCCTTCCGAAGGCTGGCCACGCGCTCCCGGGCCTGAGGGACCCGTGCCTGGCTTGCGGCGCCGCACGCGAACCCCGACGGGGCCTTCCGTTCAGGACCACTCGGCTGGCGCAGCCGGTACGTCGAGGACAGCCCGCCACGGGGCTTGCTGAGGAGACGCCTGCCGGCCCAGGTGAGGCGGCGGCGGGGAGGCCGACGCGGGCGGTGCTGGGTTAAAGCCCGGAGGACCGCTTTTTATTGCGTGCCTGGGACCGGGACTGGCGGCGGCGGCGGAGGGGGGTGGGGGGTGGTGGTGAGGCGGACCGAGAGGCCGGAGGCCACTGCAGAGCGGGATGAGGGAGAAGCGTCTAGAGCTTTTGGGGCCGGCTGTCAACCTGGAAGCGGGAGCTAGAGGTCTAGAGACAGACGTTTTCATCCTTGAGGGTATCTCACTTCTTTCCTAGCATAGACCCAACTTTGCGTTATTTCGAACGTTGATTTGTAATTACGCAAATGAAACCTCAGCGAGGTGATCCCCGTAAGCAGTTGGTCTCCTCAGACCCTTTCTCACGCGTTCAGGGACATACTCAGTGCCTTGTGGAGCTTTTCTAAAGTTCGTGAAGTCCTTTGAACCTCTGCAATGGGATTTCTTAGAAAATGGGTAAAGGAAGCACGGGGTCACTTGAAGCCTAGTTTTACTTTGTTTCTGCAGTGAAGGAAAAAAAGATACCAGTTGGTAAAAACATGAGTTTATAACATAATGACTGAGCCATAATTTGGGCTAAAATTGCTCTTTAGCGTAGGTTTTTGTTTTTTTTTTTTTTAATGTTTATTTATTTTGAGAGAAAGAGCATGTGCGAGCAGGGGAGGGGCAGAGAGAGGGAGAGAGAGAGGGAGTGAGAGAATCCCAAGCAGGCTTCCCGTTCAGGGCAGAACTGGACCCAGGGTTGGACCCCACGACCGTGAGAACATGACCTGAACCAAAATCAAGAGTCTGAGCTTCAACCGACTGAGCCACCCAGGTGCCCCAAGTGCAGGTTTTCTCATCCTCTCCCTGCCGAATTGTGATAGCCCAAAATGTCTGCAGATGTGGTCAAATGCAAAATCGCCCTTGGTTGAGATCAACTGATTTAATCCCAAACTTTCCAGAAGTAATTGCTCTTTAAGCTCCAGCCTGGCAGATGGTCTCTCTGCTCCAGCCCTTTCCGTCATCAGTATTTACCAGCTTCCATCTGGGGGGACCACTAGTCCCTCCGTGGTAGCTGTTCTCGTTCTCATCTGCCCTCAAGTCTCAGCTTTAGTAGCTATGCAAAGAGCCTTCCCCCTCTTCCCTATGCTAATGAAAGTTTATCTCTCTCCACCCTGCTCGCAAACGCAGTTATTACCTCTCATTACTACTTTTCCTTCCTCAAATGTATCACAATCTGGATTTCATTTATTTGTTAATCTGTTTTTCTTCACCACCTAGAATACAGTAAGCCGTAGTAGAGTCCTCATCCGTCTGGGTCACTCCTGGATGTCTAGTGACCATCCCAGTGCCTGGTACACAGTGATCACTCAATAAACGTTGGAGGATGGAAATATATAACCCTCTCTTCCTCCTAAGTACGTCTGTGGAGTTTCTCCTACTCCTTTCCATTCTCATTCCCTGCTGGGCTCCTTGTGACCTTTGTTTAGAACTTGAATGGAAGAATGAACGCCTAGAAGCTGTGACTAAATTCTTCACTCTTCCCACTGACTTACCCACTCCTTGAGGGCAGAAACTGTCCTTTATAAAGTTCACTGAAGGTATTCATATAGTTGAATGAACCAATCTATGACTTTAAGGAACAATATTAGACAATTAAAAATTGATAGGAACACTGGGGGCTTTAGAAATTATTAGTTTAGTGACACCTGGGTGGTTCAGTCGGTTGAGCCTTGACTTTTTACTTCAACTTTTGTTGTGATCCCAGGGTTGTGGGATGGAACTCTGTCTCAGGCTCAACGCTCAGCACAGAGATTCTCCCTCTCCACTCCCTGCCCCGCCAAGTGTGAGACAGAGAGAGAGAGAGGAAGGGAAGGGAAGGGGAAGAGGAAGGAAGGAAGGTACTTTAGGGATGAGAGCTTAAGTAATTTGTGCAAAGTCCTCAAGCTTGTTAAGAGACCAAGTCACAAGTCTCACACCTTTCTTTCAAGTCTCTTTTCTAATCTCCAGCCAATCTAGTTTCTTATTCCTTTTCTGTGAACATGACTTAGAGCTCAAACATGAAAATCCCAAGCCAAAGACCTGCTTCTTGTCAACTAAAAGCTTTTGAGCTTGTATCCTTCATCTTTTGATTAGATCTACCCTGGGGGTAATGGCCTAATGAGCTCAAAAGTGTATGATATTCAAACGATTACCCATCTTCTCTTGTACCTTTCAGTGATTAGAGATTGGAAATTGTCCCTGTCAGAGCAAAGTACCTTGTTTGTTTTGGAAGGAAAAATGTACATTGTGGGAGAAATTGATCGTTGTGTATAAATTTCCAAATAACCAGTTAAAGTTTGGCCAAACCCTGTATCCAGTAGAAAAATAACATGTGAAACAAATTAAAATAAGGTGGGGAAGGGGAATCTTATTTGAGATGACTTTCCTTGCCTATCACTCTTTAGACATGTATGTTTCCTTTTACTCTGTGTTCCTGAAACAGTTGTCACTCCTCATTAATCAGTCTCTGGTTAGACCTTTGTTTTTTGAGAGCTAAAGACCATTTTTCCTTCTCAGTTAAATTCAGGGTTCCTTCTTTTACCTTCTTGATTATTTTATATAGGCAGCACCTGGTTAGTAGAGTCTTGTGGCATCCTCTCAGCTGTTAGGATTTTGGATTTTTTTTTTCTGAGGCATCTGACAGCACTTTTAGTCACAGGGAATAGATAAATGTCTGACAGATTGGAACTTTCCCCATCAAGTTCAGTTTAAGCTTGGAAGTCTTCTCCGAAAGATGGTTTACATGAAGGTTGTCAAAAATAGACATATTGAATATAAAATATATTTTCAAGAGGACGTCTCTAGATGCATTTCCCTTTTCAGTGTACACAATCGTGATACCAAATACAGAGAAAAGAAATTGGGGTGGAGGGAGAAATTAAGAGTAAAGTGTGGTTTCTTTATCCTCTTTACTTTCAACTTTCATTAGAACTCTTAAAATCATAACTTACAATCTTCATAAAGCTAACACCACTGTATACATTCATTCATCAAGCATTTATTTTATACCTGCCATTTGTAAAGCACTCCGCTTGGCATTGTGGGGACCAGAGAGCTAATAATTTGGTCTCTGAGCTGTGGAAGTTCACAGTTTAGTAAGAATACCTGTAAACATATTACTCACATAGAAAATATTAATGCAATATTAATGGAAGTATAAATTATAAGATGGAATGTAGAAAAGGAAGCTATGCATTCTAAATAATGAATCAAGACAGCTTCACAAAGAAGGTAACATTTTAGGAGGAGAACATGTATATATAATTTCCTTTGCTCATTCTTTGGCAATGGTTAGACAATTTCAAACCGGTAAAAGCAGACATTTTGCCCACCACTTTAGAACTAGGAAAGAAAAGGAGGTGTAAGATTCTTTTTTTCCATTCCTGGTAGCAGCATGCTTCTGAAAGCTGGATGTTACCTTAACAATCCCAAATGCCTCATTCATAGTTAAGAGGAGAGTGCCAGCTGCATTATTTCAAGCCCTTATTTCCACATTATGTTGTTATTTTATTCTGGTCTCCATTGGGGCATATAGTAGCCATGAGATTTTTAATTAATTATTGTCAGTGGTGTTTATAAATGTTTTTATGAATGTGACTCTGGAGTCCCAGAATTTTAAGTATCACTGAGAAGAGAAACAAAATGATTTAGAGAACCAAAGTGTTTTTTTTTTTAATGTTTTTATTTTATTTTTGAGAGAGAGACAGCAAAAGCAGGGGAGGGGCAGGGAGAGGGAGACACAGAATCTGAAGTAGACTCCAGGCTCTGAGCCTGACGCAGGCCTCGAACTCATGAACCATGAGATCATGACATGAGCTGAAGTCAGATGCTTAACTGACTGAGCCACCCAGGCACCCAAGAACTAAAATTTTGAATCAAGCCTCTATGTGTAAGCTAGCTATATTGCCTAACTTATTTAGGGTAATTTTTAGAGAGAAAGGCAAATAGAAAGGATTACCAACGTGGCTTTAACTTTTGAACTTGATCCATTCTTTGGCAGCCAAAGAGAAGCCAGTCAGTATGAAATAGGCCTTTCAAAATGAAATAAGTCCAACTATAAGGTTTTATTATAAGCTTCTGCTGCTTCTGCCCATACCCTGGCTACCTACAAAATACAATTCCATGTGTAGGTGACAATTTATCATGGCCTTCATGGCCATTTAGAGTTGCGTATTGATTTCTACATCCTTTGAATTGATCTTTTTCTGACTGGCAGAAGAATCTTCATGTGGGTTGTATGTTTCTGAGGAAAACTTAGTGTTTAATGAATTGGAATAGGAAATGACAGTGGCTATAAGGGACATGTTGCTGCCTGCTTGAATGCCCTAAGAAATGATGTCAGGGAAGGTAATAATTCTGAAACATTATAGAAATGTTCTATTTGGCTACTTGTTTCTCTTTTCTGCTGACTAAGGAGTTTTGGTGACATGTAAAATGATGTTATACTTCCCTTAATGTTTATCATTTAATAGGAAAGATTTCAAATGAAATAGATTTTAAACTGGTTTTTCATAACTGCTACTTGGTACATCTTCATAGAGATCTGAGATGAGGTGATGTTCAAAATTTACC